ACGGCCAAGAGCAAGGAGGCCGTCTCGATTCGTCTGTTGGACATGTGGCTCGACTACGGTGAGCGCATTATTATCATTATTATCATTATTTTCTGACCCCAGCCAGGCTTTGTGTCACGGAGACATCGTGCCTACTTTTCCCTTTCTCTTGTCCCTCACGCAAGTAACTCCGTCGTTTGGTGGTTTCCACTGTCGCTTCAGATATTCGTCGCGTGGTATTAAACGGTGTGTGCGGTTACGTACCGACGGAAGAAATTCGAGCGGGCTGTCAAGCCGCAGTGCGAGACCTCGAGGCCAAGGGCATTCCGAAAACGACAGAAATCATGCTTCGGCCTCGCTTCATTCGCCTGGCTGGCCACCTGCACAGCATTGCCGTTCCCCCGGTTCCCATTTCCCTGCTCTCTCAGGTACACGAGCTGTTGGTTCAGCATCTCACCGAGCTCGTGGATCGAGCCGCACAACGCGCCCTGGACAACAACAGCGATCTTATCGTTGCACTCGAACGGCATAACCTATCACCCACCGACGTGGGCATGAAGCCCTCCGACTGCATCTTGATGTTGCAAATGTGAGCCGAAATTGGGGTGCAGACCAAACGCATTCACATGCGGATTTGATTTTGACCCTTTTTTTCTTTCCTTTTTGTTCCTTTCTCAAGTTCGAGCCCCTCCTCTCACCCCCCTCACACCCCTCCGTCAAGCGGACGCCGTGCTACCGCTGCCTATTGCTTGTTGAATGTCGTGTTTTGTCTTGATTGTGGCCCGAACACGGCCTCGTGTATCAAAAAAAGTTCCGGTGGCAAGGACCTTGTCAATCGCAGGTCTGTGCACCGCGCGTATCCAGCCACCATCCCACGTTGGGATGAACGTGTTTAATACAAAACACGAATGCTAATATTTGAATCCATCAAGGGATGGGAGACTGACTGCAGGCGAGCTCAGATTCAAGGACTCTGGGCTCGCACTGCTCTAAGGACTCTGGGCTCGCACTGCTCTTTGGCCATCCACGTTGGGGTGACCTGATAGAAAGTCATGTTGGCGTGGCTTTCCACGTACAATACAAACCCGACCAATGACTCGACTGAATGCATCTTTTAATTGAACAGGCTTTCAATTTGAGCGTGCCTTGTTTCCTTCCTACCCGTTCCTACCCCTTCTAACTGTGGCTGCTGGTAGTTTCGGGCGACATGAAAGAGAATGAAGAGAGTCAAAGTGGCACCAACGTGAAATAAGAATTTATCGTTGAACAGCTGAAACAAAAGCTTAGAAATTCACGTCGCAGACGCGCTACAGTGTGGTTCTAAAGCCCAAGTGAGGGCAGTAAACGGGTTGTCATGGGCACTTCACATGGGTAAACCGGTGTAGGTAGCAGCCAGGTCCAAGAGCGCGTGACCTTCTGCTTGTCGCTCCCCCGAAAGAAATTCGGGCGTCAACTCCCTGTTGGGCACGCGGCAGTGGAGGTGAGTTCGCCTTCATCGATCAGCAGGGCGATGCGTTATGGCACGTACCGCCAGGTCATGGCGATGCGACGCTGGGAAACGTCTTGCCGATGGACTGCATGATGCCAGGCCATCCGCGCCACTCCCTTGACCTCCAGCAGGCTGCGTGGCGGCAGAGGCACGGCAATCTGCAACACGCAAACGTTTTGGGGAATCATGCTTAGGCTCGCCCAACACAAAGCCTCAGGCACTGATGCGGGGTGCCAACAAGCGCCTGCTTTTACCCACCTCCAGGGCATCCGGTTCATCAGGCAGCTGGAAGCAGAGAAAGGTAGTCGAGAGTAGGTTGAGCGTGATGAGACGTTCTCCCCAGAGCCTATGCACAACGCATGGTGAGCATGGGCATCTGGAGGTAATCAAGTGCGTGAGGCACTTGTCGGTCACTGCTGCTGTCTTATTATAAGTCATACCAAAAATCGTCAAAGTGAGGCACGATTGCGGCTCCGCGGCTCGGCTCGTAGTCGAGGTGGCACTGTTCCACGGGAACAAAATCCTAAGTGTGCCACGAGTAGTATTCCACAGGAAAAGAAAAAGGTCGGCACTCAGCAAAGGCACAACATTGAAGGACGGGCGGGGTCACTCTTGTGAATGGGGCCAAGGTCATGGGTAGAGAGGCCCTGTAGCACCTTGAGATCAGCAGTCAGCGCTTGTAGCCGTGGGATGAGCGGGCGAGCCAGCGCTGGCAGCCCGGTAAAGTTGGCTGCCTTGACTTTTTTCTTCTTAAAATTGGCTTTCGGACCAAAATCCTTTTGCAGTGGCATTGGTGAATGGCACATGAGACAGACGACGTTCGCAATGCCAAGCGGGTGACCGGGCACACGGCAGGTCAGGCCCGCGAGCAGCACAAGGCGCGAGCCACAATAAGGAAAGGGCGGCGACAAAAGCACATGGGAGAGCAGGCAGAGGGTGGACAGGAGCAATATTGCTCAAGCACTGGTCGATTCCCGAAAGCGCAGGTGGCAAACGGGTCGAGGATACCTGCTTCCGGCGACCCGATTGCGAGTCGGTCCAGGGCCAGGCATCCATCTGGGCGACGAGCGCTGTTTCCTCCGCCTCCGTCACAAAGTCTAGCCAAACGCGAACACCCGTAAAAGGCATGGGGGTCGAGAAAGATGGGCAGCTCTAAGGCATCACCATGGTGGGCACGTTGGTCAGCGAGAGTGCGCGTCCATGGCTGGCAAGAAGACACAAAAGTGGAAAGCCACCAAGGCCTCACCCCGACGCAGAGCTGCGGGGCAGTTGCTGTGACGCGTTGGCAAGAGAGACACCAGTATACCCGCTGCCGTGCAAACGCATGCACAAGTAAGTGGCAAAAAAATGAGGCACCTATTGTGTCTTGCCGACGAACGATGCCTCGAGAGCTCGTACCTGCACTGCCTTGTGCTCGAGGTTGGCTGCAGGTGCGCATCGCGCGCAATGGCGAGCACCTACGCCCACGAGCACGACCAAAGCCCCGGCCTTGAGTTTGTATCATTTCCAATACCAACGTATCTTTGGATGTCACTTCAATCATACCTTTGCAAGCGCAAGCCGCCGAAGTCCCCGAAGTCCCCGAAGTACCCGAAGTACCCGAAGTCCCCGAAGCCGCCGTCGCCATCGCGCCGCCGGTCTGAGCCGACCCGAAAACTCTGACATTATCCCGAATTGTCATCACGCAGTTCATCTGACATTGAGTCAGGGCTACCAAATGATATCACGACCCCAACCCCAAAATTTGGATGGACCGCGTTGTTACCAAATGTTATCGATCGGTTAGCAACGCGTGTTGCCAACCAGGTTTTGCTCCCTCTCTGTCTCTCTGTTTTTCGCTCCGTTTCCCTCTCTGTCTCTCTGTTTCCCTTTCAACTCCCTTGCGCTTCTCTCTGTCTATCAATTCACTCTCTCTGTCTCTCTGTCTCTCTCTCTCACTCTCTCCGTCTCTCTGCCCCCCTTTCAACATTTTTTTTTGACCTCAACGCACTCACTGCCATTCGGTTCAAGCCGTCGTTGAGAGGTGCGTCTGCGGGGGGGCGATGCGATGATGCGATGATGCGATGATTGCAGTAGCGCGTGATTGTGCCTCGTTGGTCTGGGCAGGAGGGTGGGGTGGAGCACCCCTTGACCGGCTTGTTCTTCTTGTGCCTTGCTCATCCCTTGTCTGATTGCCACGCTGATTCGCATGTGTGTGTGTGTTTTTTTTTTTAGGGCGCACTCTTCCCTGCCCTGGCAGTAGCGTGCCTTGCTTTTGCACTGCCCTTGTTACCTTCCTTCCCTCCCGTTCCTTCCTTCTTGACCTTGAGTGTTTATATCACCTGGTCTCTCTGACTTTCAGCTCTTCTATCGACGATCCCTCGCTTGCTGCGCCTTTTGGCAACTGCGATCTACTACGTTGGGAAGAAGCGTGCCTCCTGCTCTTCCGAAACCTACGGAAACAAAAAGAGGCACCGGGTCGCGCACACCGGAAGCCATGGGTGCCGACGACGAGGGCGCCGCGGCGTCTGTTGACGTGTCTGCGGACCCTCGCTTTGATTGGATGTCTAAATGGGTGCTGGCCACCACCAAGCTAAAAGAGGATAAGTGGATCAAGATGGTGGCCGTCGATGATCACAAGCAGGCCATTCTTGAATGGTTTGACGCCAAGGATAAACGGCTCATCGTTTTTACCTTGGACGCCAAGGGCGTGTTCGAGCCCTCCTTTGACTTCCCTGCCAAGCTCAAAGCCAAGGGCGCCTACTTTCTCAAGCCCCGTGAAGACTTTGTCGTCAACAAGGACAATGTTCAGACTTTGCTCCGTGGTGACTTGGCCTATAATCCCGTCGAGCAGATTCGCGCTCTCGTGGAGGGCGTTTTCATGCCTGTTTTGGACAACGATACCAATACCGAGCAATGGCCTGTGGTCGTTTCCGAGGATGTGGTGTCTCATGCCAAGACGCTCAAGTCTACCACTGAAGTGCTCTCGGGTCGCGTCCAAGGTAATATGCCCCTTCCCCTGCCCCATGGCGCTGGTCAGCTTGATGAGCTGGCTGGTAGCGAGAGCCACGGTGCCGCTGCGGCAGCTTCAAATGGAAACACCACCGCTGCGCGGGGTGACTCCATGCAGCTGCTGCACACCATCGAGTCTGCCGTCATTGAGTGGGCTCGCCAGATTCGCGCCGTCCTCAAGCGCGATTCGGCCCAGCCCCTGATGAATGGCCAGAACCCGGGCGCCCTGGTTGAGTGTGACTTTTGGGCCGCCATGAAGAAGAGCGTTGGTAGCCTCAAGGAGCAGCTCGAGGCACCGCGCGTGCAGGCCATGCAACGCGTCCTCGATGAGCACAACAGCAACTACAGCGCCTCGCTGCAACAGCTCAAGGAACACGTCAACGCCGCTTACGATGAAGCGGTCGACATTGTTCTCTACCTCGAGCCCCTTCGCATGTACCTCGAGCAACTCGAGGATATTGAGCTCGCCGAGATGCCCCGCCTTCTGACATCAATCTTTGTCACCATCCGTCTCATCTGGACCTATAGCAAGCACTACAACACCGCTCGCCGCATGGTCATCCTTCTTCGTGAGATCTGCAACCAGGTCATCGCCTCAATCACCGGCTTTATCGAGCCCCGCTCTCTTTTTGCCCAAGAACTAGAAGAGGGCATTAAGAAGCCCCAAGAGGCCATCAACGTCATTGAGGCGCTTCACCACGAATTTGATGCCACCCGCACAGCCATCCATGAAGCCAGCCAGGCCGGCAAGTGCCCGTCCTGGGAATTTGAGAAGCCCTTGGTCTTCAAGCGCATTGATTCATACGCAGCCCGTCTTCGCAAGCTGCACACCGTCTTTGCCGCCTTCTTGGATTTTGCCAAGCTGGAAAAGGTCGAGGTTTCCGGTGATAAGGTATGCCCGTGCCCGTGTCCTTGCCCTGCCAAGCCGGTCGTGGCCATGCATATATACCTTGTACCTTGATCTAACCTGGGCCCGGCTCCTTGCGTCGCTTCACACCCACCCAGCTGAACAAGCAGATTCAAAACATCTTTGTCGAGCAGAGCGAGCGATTCGAACAGCTCATGAAGGAGACTGGCGAGGAAGGTTTCGACTGTCTCAACCCGGCCGTCCCCGACTTTGACCAGGTCTTTCGGGAGATTATGACGACCACCGCGGATTGGGATCGACGCCTCGCAGCCATAGCTTGTCAGGCCTTTGAGCGCGTCAACAGCCTGGAGGCTGCTTTTAAGCTCGTCATCAGCTTCCAGGGTCTGCTTGACCGCCCCAACATTGCCGACGATGTACGTGTCAGCTCCCGCTCTCATCATGTGACCCACAGCAGTGTGTGTCGGGTCCTTTGCCGCCGGTGTTATTGCCCTTTTCGTGTTCCGTATCCGCGCCCAATTCACGACCCACATGTCCCGCCTGTGCAGGTCAGCTCGCAGTATCCACGCATGGTGGCCATGCTCGAGGAAGACCTCGACATCGTCAAGAACATCTTTGACCACCAACGGGAGAACATGCTGCTCAACAAGAACATGCCGCCCGTGGCTGGTGCTCTCAAATCCATCTCTGAGCTCCGCGATCGCGTCAATCGCCCGCGTCAAGAAATGGAGAAGCTCGAGCATCCTGCCTTTCACGGCGACGACGTGAAGCGCGCCTTTGGCAAGCATCAAGAGCTTCTCGAGCGCTTCACCGCCTTTGAGCTTGAGGTGTACCAACAGTGGGCCGATCGCGTCGGTCAGGAGTCGGCCGCCAACCTTAACCGCCCCCTCCTCCTGCGCACACCAGAGACGTCCCTGATTGCCGTCAACTTTGACCCTCAACTCGTGGCCACCTTGCGTGAGGTGAAGTACCTCGAGCTTGTGCGCCGCCTGACGACCCCCGACGCTCCGGAAACGGCAGTGCCGGAGAGTGCCGGTGCCGTATTTGCCCGCGAGGAAGCCTTCCGCCAGAAGCTAGCCAATCTTGATGTGGCCGTCACCGAGTACAACCGCATTCAAGATACGCTCCTCGACGTGGAAGAGCCCCTGGTGGCGGGCGAGCTGGCCGCCATTGACGTCTTGCTTGAGAAAGGCATTTCCAATCTCAACTGGAATTCAGAAGACGCCTCGGCCTATTGCTTAGAGGTGAAGGACGTCATTGAACAGCTCAGCAACCGCATTCAGCAGGCCAAGGGCAACGTCCGAACCATGCTCCAGAAAATGGAGGCCTGGTACGAGGAGCCGGTCCTCCAGCCCGACAGCAAAACTGGTATCCTCTCCTTCGGTGATCGCACCAAGGTCATGGCGGCGCCCATGGAGCGCATCCGTCAGGACGGCGAAACTTTCCACCAACTCCTGGCTCAAAACCAAGAGTTTTTCAAGGCCGTAGCCGATAACCCAGACTGGCATGCCTATGTGGAGTACCTGGACAGCTTGTTGCTGGACGGTCTCTTCAACACAGTCCACGTGTCCATGTCTCATCTCTTGGACCGCATGGAGCCGAACCCAGAGGACCCCATTCGTCCGCTACAGCAAGGCCAGATGAGCCTGGTGGACACCGCCATCACCTTCCAGCCGGGCATGAACGACACAGACCCCAAGCCCAGCCTGATGGAACAGAACATGACCATCTCTGACGACATCTTTGATGTGGGCACCGTCATCAAGTCTCTGGCCGCCCACACGCCCGATCCGGACTACCGCGAGCGTCTTGCCGCTGCTACAGAGCTGCAGGAGCTGCGCACGGAGCTGGAGAGCAAGGTAAACTCGGCCGTGTACGCCGCCTCCGAGTTTGAGCTCAACTTGCGGAACATTTACGCGCACCTGTGGGTGGATGATCGCCGCGAGTTTATGGCTCAGTTCCTCAAGTACAATCACATCCCCACCCCCGAGGAGCTGGACACTGCCGCCGAGTCCGGCCAGCCCATTCCGGAGGTAGCACCAACCCTCGAGCAGTTCAAAGAGAACATTGACAAGTACAACGCCATTGCCGAGTCAGTCCGCGAGCTGGAGGACCAGGTCACCTTTGATCAGTGGCTCAAGGTCAAGTGCCAGCCTTTCAAGGATCGCCTCTACAATATTGTCAAACAGTGGAGCAACATGTTCATCGAACACCTGACCGAGCACGTCACCAACAGCCTGGTCGATCTCGAGGTGTTTGTCCAGCAGGTTGATCAGGGGCTCAGCGAGCCCATCCCCGAGGGTAACTACGATGCCCTCGTCAAGACGATGGACCTGCTCAACCGCGTCAACGAGCGCGCTGAGGCCACAGATGCCATGTTCGATCCGCTCACCGAGACGGTGCGCTTACTCGAAGCCTACGACATTGAGATGCCCCCCAAGGTCCACGAGCAGCTGGGTGCGCTGCCCGAGCAGTGGAAGAGCAGCAAGAAGCTGGCCAACAATGTAACCAACGACGTGGCGCCCCTGCAGGCGGACGAGGTCACCAAGCTCAAGCGTCGTGCGAATCAATTTGACGTGCGCAACTTTGAGTTCCGTGAAGACTTTATCAAGCGTGCCCCCCTCCGCTACGACTCGCGCCGCGTATACGTGCGCATCAACAAGCACTATGAGGAGTACCTAGAGATGGAGCGCGAGATGGACGGTCTTTACCAGTCAGCTCGTCTCTTCAACGTCAAGCTGCCCGAGTACAAGCAGCTCAAGCTGTGCCGCCGTGAGCTTGCCCTCCTCAAGGCGCTTTGGGACATGATCGTTCTCGTCCGCTCCCAGTTTGCCGAGTGGAAGCAAACACGCTGGCTCGAGGTGAACGTTGAGAACATGGAGATGGATTGCAAGCGCATGGTCAAGGAGATCCGCCAACTTGACAAGGAGACGCGGGCCTGGGAGGCCTTCAACGGCGTTGATGCCGACGTCAAGAACATGATCACCTCGCTCGGCGCCGTCGGCCTGTTGCAGTCACCTGCCATTCGCGACCGCCACTGGCAACAGCTCATGAATGCCACCGGTGTTCGCATCGACATGAGCAAGGAGACCGAGTTGTCCGAGCTCCTTGCTCTCAACCTGCACGAGTACGAGGACGAGGTGTCGACCATTGTTGACCGCGCTAACAAGGAGCAGGGCATGGAGAAGATCCTCAACGAGCTTGACACCACGTGGGGTGGCATGGTCTTTGACTACGACGAGCACAAGGAAACTGGCACACCACTGCTCAAGACATCCGAGGAGCTCATCGAAACGCTGGAAAATGACCAGGTCAACGTTCAGGGCCTCATGGTCTCCAAGTACATTGCTTTCTTTCACGACCGCGTCTCAGCGTGGCAGACCAAGCTGGCCAATTCAGACTCTGTCATTGAGATTTACATGGAAGTCCAGCGCACCTGGTCGCATCTCCAGTCCATCTTCATTGGCTCGGAGGACATTCGCCAGCAACTGCCAGAGGACTCGAAGCGATTTGATGGCATTGATGTCGACTTTAAGCGCGCTGCCGCTGACATGAAGGCTACTCCCAACGTCATCGAGGCGTGCAACAAGCCTGGTCTCTACGATCTGCTGGAAGATATCAAAGGTCGCCTGTCCCTTTGTGAAAAGTCCCTTCAGGAGTATCTCGAGACCAAGCGCCTTGCCTTCCCCCGCTTTTACTTCGTCTCCTCTGCCGATCTGCTCGACATCTTGTCCAATGGCAACAACCCCACCAAGGTGGCTAAGCAGCTCTCAAAGCTCTTCCAGGCCATTGGCAACATCAAGCAGGCCGAGGATGACCCCAAGCTTGCTCTGGGCATGTATGCCCTCGACGGCGAGTATGTCGAATTCTCGTCCCCTGTCAAGTGCGACGGTCGTGTCGAGGACTGGCTCAACGGCATTCTTGACATGCATCGCCAGACGCTGCAAGACATCATGGCCGAGGCCATCGTGTCCTATGAAGAAAAGCCACGCAAGGACTGGGTCTTCGACTACCCGGCGCAAATGTCCCTCACGGGCGTACAGGTGTGGTGGGCCACCGAGGTCAGCCTAGCCTTTGCTCGTCTCGAGGAGGGCTTTGAGACGGCAATGAAGGATTTCAACAAGAAGCAGATCTCCATGCTGAACGACTTGATCGTGCTCCTTCAAGGCAAACTATCCAAGGCCCAGCGTGTGATGCTGCAAACCATCTGTACCATCGATGTGCACTGTCGCGATGTCGTCATCAACCTCATCAACATCAAGTCGGAGTCGGCTGACGCCTTTGCGTGGCAGGCTCAGCTCCGCCACATCTGGGATGAGCAAAGCAAGCTGGTCAAGATTCACATTTGCGACGCACGCTTCACCTACTCGTACGAGTATCTCGGCAACATGCCGCGCCTCGTCGTCACACCCCTCACGGATCGTTGCTACATCACCCTCACTCAGTCCCTTCACTTGATCATGAGTGGCGCCCCTGCTGGTCCCGCCGGCACGGGCAAGACTGAGACCACCAAGGATCTCAGCCGTAACCTGGCTGTCATGTGCTATGTCTTCAACTGCTCCGAACAGATGGATTACAAATCCGTCGGCAACATCTTCAAGGGCCTTTCGCAAACCGGTGCCTGGGGTTGCTTCGATGAGTTCAACCGCATCTCCGTCGAGGTGCTCTCCGTCGTTGCCGTCCAGGTCAAGTGCATTCAGGATGCCATTCGCGCCAAGAAAAAGGTCTTCAACTTTATGGGCGAGGAGATTAAGATGAACCCCACGGTGGGCATTTACATTACTATGAATCCCGGCTACGCCGGCCGCACCGAGCTGCCCGAGAATATCAAGGCTCTCTTCCGCCCGTGCGCAATGGTTGTGCCTGACTACGGCATGATCTGCGAAATCATGCTTGTGTCCGAGGGTTTCCTCAACGCCAAGCTTCTTGCCCGCAAGTTTATCACCCTGTACACGCTCAACCGCGATCTGCTCTCGAAGCAGGATCACTACGATTGGGGCTTGCGCGCCATCAAGTCGGTCCTTGTGGTCGCCGGCTCGCTCAAGCGTGCCGATCCCGACCGCTCGGAAGACGAGGTGCTGATGCGTGCTTTGCGTGACTTCAACATTCCCAAGATTGTCAACGAGGATTTGCCGGTCTTTATGGGTCTGATCACCGACCTGTTCCCGGGCTTGGATGTGCCGCGCAAGCGCAACCCCGAGTTTGAAGGCATCGTTCGCAAGGCCGTGGAGGAGCTGACCCTGCAGCCAGAAGACAGCTTCCTGCTCAAGGTGGTGCAGCTGCAGGAGCTGCTTGATGTCCGCCACTCCGTCTTTGTCCTGGGTCCGGCCGCCACGGGCAAGTCCTGCGTCATCCAATCCCTGTTCAAGACTTACCAGCTGCAAGGCCTCAAGCCCATCCGCGCCGACCTCAACCCCAAGGCTGTCACCAACCACGAGCTCTACGGCTACATCAATCTGGCCACGCGCGAGTGGGTCGACGGTCTCTTCTCGCATCTGATGCGTGACATCTCCAACATTCAGAGCGATGCCCCCAAGTGGCTCGTGCTTGACGGTGATATCGATACCATGTGGATTGAGTCGCTCAACACGGTCATGGATGACAACAAGATCTTGACGCTGGCTTCCAACGAGCGCATTGCGCTCCAACCGAGCATGCGCCTCATCTTTGAGATTGCCAATCTGACCTACGCCTCGCCTGCCACGGTGTCGCGTGCCGGTATCCTCTTCGTCAACCCTACCGACCTGGGCTGGAACCCCTTTGTCGCATCTTGGATTGAGCAGCTGGAGTCGCCCGGGCAGAAGAATAATCTGATGATTTTGTTCGAGAAGTATGTGCCGCCTTGCTTGGATGCCATGCGCAGCCGCTTCAAGACCATCACCCCCATGACCGAGTGGTCGATGATCAACACCCTGTGCCACCTGCTCGAGCTTCTGCTCACCCCGGAGAACACACCCGAGGGCTGCGCGAAAGAAGACTATGAGCTCTACTTTGCCTGGGCTGCTGTCTGGGCTTTTGGTGGCCAGCTGTTTAAGGATCAACTCATCGACTGGCGCGAGGAGTTTTCCAAGTGGTGGGTGACCGAGTTCAAGACCATCAAGTTCCCCACGGGCGGAACCGTCTTTGACTACTACATCAACCCTCAGGAGAAGAAGTTTGCGTCCTGGACGGAACTCGTGCCTGAGTTTGAGTTTGATGCGGAAATGCCCCTTTCCGCTGCTCTCGTGCCCACCAGTGAGACGGTGCGCATCCGGTACTGGATGGACCGTCTCGTGGCTGCGGGCCACCCAGTTCTGCTCGTGGGCAGCCCTGGTACGGGCAAGACAGCCAACATTCTCAACAAACTCCAGGAGCTCGACGACAACTGGATGTCCACGATTGCTTCCTTCAACCATTACACGGTTCATCACACGATGCAGGCCGTTCTGGAGGAGCCGCTGGAGAAGAAGGCGGGCAAGAACTACGGCCCGCCCGGCACCAAGCGTTTAATCTACTTTGTGGACGATCTGAACATGCCTGAGGTGGATCTCTATGGCACAGCATCGCCCCACACGATCATGCGCCAGCATCTGGACTACAACAGCTGGTATGATCGCCAGAAGCACACCATCAAGGTTGTGGCGAACACGCAGTACATGGCCTCGATGAATCCCAAGGCCGGCTCGTTCACCATCAACCCACGGCTGCAACGTCACTTCTCTGTCTTTGCTGCCTCCCAGCCCGGCAGTGAGGCCCTGACTCACATCTACACCTCGCTCTTCACCGGCCACCTCAAGCATGCTGGCTTTTCCAGCTCGGTGTTGAAGGTCGCCGACAAGGTGGTGCAGGCAGCCATTGCCGTTCACAACAAGGTCTCATCAACATTCCTTCCCACGGCCATCAAGTTTCACTACCTCTTCAACCTGCGTGACCTGTCAAACCTCTTCCAGGGTCTGGCCTTTGGGCAAGCGGAGTCTATCAAGACTCCGCTGCAGGTGGCACGCCTCCTCTATCACGAGCTTGAGCGCGTCTACTCGGACAAGCTTGTAGACGAGAGTGACATTGAACAGTTCAACGGCATCACCGAGGCCGCTCTGACCAGTGTCTTTGGCGATCTTGATCGCGAGCAGCTGGTCGCCAATCCGAAGATTCACGTGCATTTTGCGGACGGCATTGGTGAACCTCGCTACAAGGAGATTAAGAATATGCAATCGCTGCAGAGTGTCTTGCAGGAGGCCCTCAACAGCTACAATGAGGTCAATGCGGCTATGAATTTGGTCCTTTTCCGCGACGCCATGCAGCATGTTTGCCGCATCAACCGCATCCTTGAGAGTCCGCGCGGCAATGCTCTTCTGGTGGGCGTCGGTGGCTCTGGCAAGCAATCGCTGTCTCGGCTCGCTGCCAGCATCAGCGGGCTCGATACCTTCCAGATTGCCCTCTCGAAGGGCTATGGTATGAACGAGCTCAAGGCTGATCTGGCACAATGCTTTGTCAAGGCTGGTCAAAAGGGCGCAGGCGTCATGTTCTTGATGACTGATGCTCAAGTCGGCGATGAACGCTTCCTCGTTCTCATCAACGATCTTTTGGCTTCGGGTGAGATTCCCAATCTTTTCGCCGCCGACGAGAAGAATGACATCATTGACGGTGTTCGCGGCGAGGTCAGGTCATCCGGCCTGGAGGACAGCACCGAGAACTGCTGGACTTTCTTCATCAACCGCGTTCGCCGCCTCCTTAAGGTGGTGCTGTGCTTCTCTCCTGTCGGTGACACGCTTCGCAAGCGTGCCCGTAAGTTCCCGGCCATTACCAACTGTACCACCATTGACTGGTTCCACGAGTGGCCCGAGGATGCCCTCATCTCCGTGTCTTCCAACTTTTTGGGTGACACGGAGCAGGTCCCGAAGGAGCTCAAGGAGCCCATCGCAAAGTTCATGGCGTTTGTGCACACCACGGTGAACGAAATGAGCCAGGTGTACCTGGCCAATGAGCGCCGCTACAATTACACCACGCCCAAAAGCTTCCTTGAGCAGATTAGTCTGTATCAGTCGCTGATTGGCCGCAAGGTTGGCGAGCTGCAAAACGCCCAAGAGCGCATGGAGAATGGTCTGACAAAGCTGCAGAGCACCGCTGCCCAGGTCGATGACCTCAAGGAAAAGCTCGCCGCGCAGGAGATTGAGCTTGACCAGAAGAACAGGGAGGCGGATGCCCTCATCGAGCGAGTGGGCGTGGAAACCGAGAAGGTGAACAAGGAGAAAGAAATCGCCGCCGTGGAGCAGGAGAAGGTGCGCGTCATCAACGAGGATGTGTCTGCGAAGCAGCAGTCGTGCGAGGCGGATCTGGCCAAGGCCGAGCCCGCCCTTTTGGCCGCCCAAGAGGCCCTCAACACCCTCAACAAGAACAACTTGACCGAGCTCAAGTCTTTCGGTGCACCCCCCGATATTGTCGTGACAGTTGCTGCCGCCGTCATGTGCCTGCTCTCCAAGGGCAAGGTACCCAAAGACCGCAGCTGGAAGTCCTGCAAGAGCATTATGGGCAACGTATCCGAGTTTTTGGACAAGCTGCTCAACTACGACAAGGAAAACATCCCGGATGCCAACCTGAAGGCCGTGGAGCCTTACCTGGCTGATCCTGAGTTTGACCCTGACTTTGTACGTGGCAAGTCGCTCGCTGCCGCTGGTCTCTGTTCCTGGGTTCGCAACATTGTCACCTTCTACCACATTTTCTGCGATGTCGAGCCCAAGCGCAACGCCCTGGCTGAGGCCAACGCCGAGCTAGAGGCCGCGCAGACCAAGCTCAACAAGATTATGGAGAAGATCCAAAAGTTGGATGAAGCACTCGGCCGTCTTACGGCCGAGTTCCAGGCCGCCACTGACGCCAAGCTCAAGTGCCAGGCGGAGGCCGATGCCACGAACAAGACCATCTCTCTGGCCAATCGCCTTGTCAACGGCCTTGCCTCGGAGAAAATTCGTTGGGGCCAAGCCGTGCAGGACTTCAAGGCGCAGGGTGTGACCATGCCCGGCGACGTCCTGCTCGTGACCGCTTTTCTGAGTTACACCGGTTGCTTCACGAAGCATTACCGTGACATTTTGTACAACGAGAAGTGGCTGCCCTTTATCACCAGCGGCAAAGAGCCCATCCCCATTTCAGCCAACCTGGACCCGCTGAGCGTCTTGACGGATGCATCGCAGGTGGCGCGCTGGAACAACGAGGATCTGCCTGCTGATCGCGTGTCGACGGAGAACGCTACCATCCTCGTCAACGCTGCCCGCTGGCCTTTGATCATTGACCCCCAGGAGCAGGGCATCAAGTGGATCAAGAAGCGCGAGGGGGAGGCCCTGGTTGTGGTTCGCCTCGGCCAAAAGGGATATCTGGACAAGATTGAGCGCGCCCTGGCCAACGGTGACTGTGTGCTGATTGAGAATCTCGGTGAAGAGACGGATCCCGTGTTGGACAAGCTCCTTGGCCGCCAGACTATTAAGAAGGGTCGCGCCATCATGATCGGTGACAAGGAGGTTGAGTACAACAAGGACTTCCGCCTGATCTTGCACACCAAGATGGCCAACCCCCACTACAAGCCCGAGTTGCAGGCCCAGTGCACGCTGATCAACTTCACCGTCACCCAACTCGGTCTCGAGGACCAGCTTTTGGCCGACGTCGTGTCTGCTGAGCGCCCAGATCTGCAGGCGCTGCGTGCGAAGCTGACCAAGGAACAGAACGAGTACATGATCACGCTCAAGGAGCTCGAGGACGCGCTTTTGGCTCGTCTGTCGTCGGCAGAGGGTGACTTTTTGCGTGACGAGGCCTTGGTCGAGGGTCTCGAGAACACCAAGGTCACTGCAAAGGAGATTGCCGAAAAGGTCGAGCAAGCCAAGGTGACCGAACAAGAGATTGAGTTGGCCCGCGAGAACTACCGTCCTGCCGCTGCACGCGCCGCGCTGCTCTACTTTATCGTGAACGAGCTGGACAAGATTCACCCCATGTATCAGATCTCTCTCAAAGCCTTCAAGGTGGTATTCGCGCACGCCATCAAGGTGGCACCCGCTGCCGAGGAGGTCAAGGATCGTGTGCGCAATATCATTGATGCCATCACCTTCAACGTGTACAACTATGTCTCGCGTGGCCTGTTTGAGCGCGACAAACTCATCTTCACCACGCAAATGACGCTGCAGATTCTGCAGATGCGCGGCGACATCAATCCAGTCGAGCTGGACTTTTTGCTCAAGGGTCCCTCTGTGCCCAACTCGGTTTGCCCGGTCGACTTTATGACCAACATGACCTGGGGCAACTTGAAGGCCCTGGCCACCATGGAGGCGTTTGCCAATCTCGACCGCGATGTCGAGGGTTCGGCCAAGCGCTGGAAGAAGTTTGTCGAGAGCGAGGTGCCCGAAAAGGAAAAGCTGCCCGGCGAGTGGAAGAACAAGACCGAGGTGCAAAAGCTGTGCATGCTGCGTTGCTTCCGCCCCGATCGTATGCTGTACGCCATGCGTTTGTTTGTCGGCGAGATGCTGGGCGAAAAGTACATCTCTGGCCGCACCACCGAGTTTAGCAAGACCTTTGAGGAGACGAGCCGTGCCACGGGTGTCTTCTTCATTCTTTCGCCCGGCGTCAACCCGATCAAGCAAGTGGAGGAACTTGGTCTCAAAATGGGCTTCTCCTTTGACAACGGCAACTACTACCAAATCTCGCTGGGTCAAGGCCAGGAAGTTGTGGCCGAGAATGCCCTCGACAAGGCCGCTGAAGAAGGCCAGTGGGTCGTTCTGGAGAACGTGCATTTGGTCAAGAAGTGGCTGCCTGCGCTCGAGAAGAAGCTTGAGGCACTGGCCCTGACGGCACACGACAACTTCCGCTACTTCCTGACGGCCGAGCCTGCTGGTACGCGAGCCGGCCACATTATCCCGCAAGGTATTCTGCAAGCGTGCGTGAAGATTACCAACGAGCCCCCCACAGGCATTCAGGCCAACCTGCACGCCGCATTGGACAACTTCAACCAAGACACGCTCGAAATGTGCGCCAAGGAGAACGAGTTCCGCAAGCTGCTCTTTTCCCTGGTGTACTTCCATGCCGTTGTTCTGGAACGCCGCAAGTTCGGGCCCATGGGCTGGAACCGCAACTACCCCTTCAACACGGGTGATCTCACCATTTCATGCAACGTCCTCTTCAACTACCTGGAAAACAACTCCACTGTGCCGTGGACTGATCTGCGCTACCTCTTTGGCGAGATTATGTATGGTGGTCACATTACGGATAACCTGGATCGCCGCCTCTGCAACACGTATTTGGAAGAGTACATGAAGGCCGAGATGCTGGACGCGGATCTTGAGCTGGCCCCGGGCTTCCTCTCGCCCAACAGCATGGAGTATCCCGAGTACCACGAGTACATTGACGAGATGCTGCCGCCCGAGTCGCCTTACCTGTACGGCATGCATCCCAACGCCGAGATTGAGTTCTTGACGGTGACGTCACAGCGACTCTTTGACACTGTCCTGGAGCTGCAGCCGCGTGATACCAGTGCCGGTGGTGCCGAGGCTGGTGGCCAGTCGCGCGAGGAGCGCCTGAAGGCCATTCTCGACGAGTTCTTGGAGCGCCTGCCCGAGGAGTTCAACATGCTCGAGCTCAACGCGCGCATGCCTGTCGAGGAGCGCACGCCATATACTGTGGTGGCCTTCCAGGAAACGGCGCGCATGAACAAGTTGACAGGTGAGCTTCGGCGTAGCCTCAAGGAGCTGGACTTGGGTCTCAAGGGTGAATTGACGATCACCGAGGCCATGGAAGAGTTGTCCATGGCCCTGGAAATGAATCGCGTGCCGAGCTCGTGGGAGACCAAGGCGTACCCATCGACCAAGCCACTGGGTGCGTGGTACGCCGACTTGCTCGATCGTATCAAGTTTTTGGAGATGTGGAGCGGCGACTTTGCGCTCCCCGCCGCGGTATGGCTGGGTGGCCTGTTCAACCCCCAGTCCTTCATGACAGCCATTTTGCAGCAGACTGCCCGCAAGAACGAGTGGCCGCTGGACAAGATGTGCATGAACTGCGACGTGACCAAGAAGTATGGCAAGGAGGACTTTACAACGCCGCCTCGCGAGGGCTCATACATTTATGGCTTGTTCATGGAGGGTGCGCGCTGGGACACGTCGTCAGGCATGATCCAGGACGCTCGCCTGAAGGAGCTGACACCCGCCATGCCCGTGCTGTACCTCAAGGCCATGCCCGTGGAGAAGCGCGACACGCGCGGCATGTATGAATGCCCAACGTTCAAGACCAAGGAGCGTGGGCGTGCCAACGAGCAGGTTGCTGTCGGCGTGTGCCCTGGTTTTGTCTGGTCCCTCTTCCTCAAGACGAAACAGCACCCCAACAAGTGGATTCTGGCTGGCGTTGCTCTGCTGCTCAGCGAGTAAATCAGCCCCCTTGCGCCTGTTTGCGTTATTTTTAAGCGAAAGCCTCTGTGTGTGTGTGTGTGTGTGTGTGTGTGTGTGTGTGTGTGTGTGTGTGTGTGTGTGTGTGTGTGTGTGTGTGTGTGTGTGTATTAGAATCATGCTTATGTGTTGAATGTTCTTGTGCCGTCCTTGAATGTGTGCTGCGCTCCCTCTGATGCCAATTGAATCATTGCAATCCCACACTTGACCAAAGATTCGAACAGACGTTGTCAGACAAAATAAAGTGTGATTAAATGCACAGTTTCTTTTGTGACCCTCACACCCGCGTGCGCGCTTCACACACTTGACTGTGTCCCAGCGGCATTTTTATCGTCGTGAGGGCTCTTGCGCGCAGCGGGGTGGTCTCGGCCTTGGTGCTATATTGAACGGCTTGGCAGCGAGGCTTGGTGGTTGTGTGGACTGTCTGGCGTTCGGCGTGCTGGCAGGGGCGAGGTTTGTGGCCGTATATTTTTACAGACGTCGTTAGCATGGCGCAACAAGAGCAAGCGGCTGATGGGCCGCAGCTGAGCAACTTGAACCTGGAAGGTGCGGACAGCGCACACTCAGGGACACGTACAGGAGCTAATTTGGCGCGTTCCTGTGCTTGTTCGACCTCACCGCTCTGTCTTGCCTTGATGAGTATAGAGGAAAGCGTTGAGGTCCAATGGGCGGGTAAAACACCGTTTCAGCTAGAGGGCTGCTACTTTCAGGACCTCGTGGGACACAACCATTCCAAGCCCTTTGGTCCCCTTGAATTGCAGCCGGGAAAGCCCGTGCGCTTTTGGACGAGCCCGGGTGCGTTGCACTGCTGTGGTGGCGCTTCGCGCAAGTTGCCGTAGCAAGCTCAGCTTCCCCCTTTAGACTTTGCCCCCCCCACCCTTTTTTTTAAAAAAAAAAAAAAAAGAGGGTGCTGTTGCTTGCACACGAGAATGATTCACAAATTGCGCCTTTGCTTCTGGTGTTCTCTGTGGCAGGCCGCAAGGTGCAAGAGGATGCCAGCAATCTCGTGTGGCGCAATCAAAATGGCCGACCGCGTGTCAAGCCCGGTACGGGGCGCTTTGGCTGGCCAAAACCTGCTTCGTTTGGTATTTCCAGGGCATCATCTCGCCTTTCTCATCGTTCATAACTTTGGTCTTGACTCCCAACGCACGCTCTTGTTTGGGGCACTAGTTCTCAACAACGATGGCGATGGACTGCGCCTGCTCAGCGCGGATGGTGAGGAGCTGGCCCGCATCGCGTCGAGCGGCACCTGCGAGCAAAGTGGCGACGAGGTGACGGGAACTGAGGCAGTGGATTCTAAGGATCAAAAAGAAAACGAGGATGAAGAAGAGGAGGAAGAGGATGTCGTGGATGACGATGCCGCACAACAAGGATCAGAGAGCGCCGATGATCTTGATGACAAGGACGATGACGACGAGGAAGAGGAAGCCGATGACCGTGACGATGCTGAAGTCGAGGAGGACATTGATGCACTTGTGGACGCTGCATTTGCCTCCAAGCCCGTCCGTGACGCAGATGTAACCAGGTCGGCTTTGCAATTGGCTGGCATACCCGATGACTCGAGCCCGTCAGTGTGCACTCACGAGCCTCGCTTTGCAATATTACCAGCAATTTGTCCTCTTCTTTAGCTCCTGGCGCACGGAGTCAGCTGTTCAAGGTTAAGGAGAGCGCGAACAAGGCTCGTTTAAGCCGTGTCGAACTCGTTGACGCCAGCGCAGGGCAGGCTGATGCTGAAGTGCGTGCACACGATCCCGCTCCAACCCCTTGAAGACCCATCCATGTCCTATCTCGCAAGCGCAGCGTGCCCTGCTTTCTCACCTTGGCTCGCGTGTGTGTAGTTGATGCGCAAGGCCGTCATCTCGGCGCGCACAGAGCAAGCGGCCGAGGCCCCTCTTCAACTGTCGCGTCATAAGAAGGAGGCCATCCGCCGCAACGAACGCAAGGTCAGTGCCGCTGCCTGCACTGCCGCTTGGACGACCTTGATCACTCCACATGCCGGTGTGCCTGTCGTTGTTCTTGGTCACCCGCTTTTGTTCGTGTCGGTAGAAAAACCCGACAGCCGGCCGCAAGTGGTTTAACATGCCTGCTACTGAAATCACTCCCGAGGTGGCAGCAGATCTCAAGATTTTGGGGGTATGTCTTTGATTGTCTCTATTGCTGGCCCAACACCCGTGCCATGTGGGCTCGCGGACAGCACATGCTTCTTCGTCGCAGCACGCCCCTCTTTGCTCGCACATCTCAAAAGCTCATATCACCTCAATGTGGCGCTTCTTTTCTCACCGCCTTGCATTTATCCTTAGATGCGTGATGTCCTTGATCGTAAACGTCATTACCGCTCCGCAGACAGTAGCCAGCCGCCCAAATTTTTCCAGGTAATCTTCAGCAATTGGCTTGCCAGCTTGTGCTGGCCATGCCAAATCTCAAAGTGCTCCTCACTCGCGACTCGTCACCCCGAATTCGGGTCTCGCATCCAGGTTGGCCGCATTGTGGACGGCGCTGCTGACTTTTACTCGGATCGGAGCACCAAGAAAGCAGCCAAACGCACACTCGTTGATGAGCTGCTTGAGGATCAGAGCACACGCAGGTTCGCTCAAAGAACTGCTCAGCGATCAGCAAAAATACTCGCACCTCACGTTTACACATATTTTGTCGCTACCTACAGGTACAACAAACAAAAGTTTGTGCAGCTGTCCCAGAGCAAATTTGCCGCTAACAAGCACAAGGGCAGTGGCAGCTTCAAGGGACGTGGCAAAGGCAAAGGCAAGCCTACTACCGGTCCGGCTGCTAAGAAAGCCAAGAAGCAACTGAAGCGACCCTTTTGATCAAATTCGGCCCGACAAGGACGTTCCAGGAAAAGCAGGCCACAACCTCAACATCGCACAGCGTAGCCGATGGAACAAGGACGTCGGACTGTCACGGTCAACGCAGACTCTACTTTACCTTACTAGCCAGTAGGCATCAAAAAAGCAAATAAAAAGATGAAGGTCTGCTTTTGACATGGGCGCTGGCGCCAGGTCCCAGTCTTTGTATGCGGCCAGACTTTCCACTAGCTGTCATTTGTGATTCAACATCCGTGTTGTTTTTGTTCTTTTTTTTTTCTTCCTTTTTTTTTTCTTTTTCTTGTCTGTAGGGGTATCCCCTAGAGTGGCTTGCTTAGTCCGGTGACGCGATCGAGGCATGGCCTTGAATTGACATGTGAAATAAAAATCCCATTATTATCGAGGTCTGCAACCACATTTCCCTCTCGCGTGGCGACAGATGTTCACTAAACCACGAACCAGACGTGACCTGCATCGCCCGAATGCGTCAAGGATCGGGCTTGACAGCCACAAACACAGCCACACTGCGGACAAATCAGAGCAACCAGCAATAGATCCGTTGAGGCATCCATGCAGGCATTGAGGCCCAGTGGAGGGGGCTGAAGCGGTGCCATGACAGTCTGTGGAACGGCACTGGCAGGTAAGCTAATGAGATGCGTCAGCTTCACACGCGTGCCGACTATCCAGCGCAATTGCGCAGGCGCAGCGTGCGCATCAATCACTGAAGCAGCGGCGGCGACGCCTTGACGAGCCTTGTCATCCGGCAATGAGCTCAGCAAATCATCCTGACAGCGCCAGCATGCGAGTGGTTGCTGTGCTGTCATTGCACTGTCAGGTTCCAGCAAACTAGCCAAGCCAAGCGCAGCCTCACGGCTAGCTTGCGACATTTTGATAGGCGAGTCAAGCAAGAAGATTGAGGGTTCCGGAGTATCGTCGAGTTCCACACTATCCGTGTCATGGCGTGCCTCTCGGTTACTGACACTGCTCGTCTCTGGGAGCGGCGATGAGGGAGCAGGCGCCAAATTGGCCCCACTTATAATGGCTGTTGCTGGGCCCGGTGATGACGGCGGTGTTTGGCGATCGCCTACCACCGGTGCCAACTCGCTTGCCCCTTCTTCTCCCGTCAACTGAGTCTCGGGCCCTTTGGATGCCGCCCGCCCAATATTGGCCGCCTCCAGAGCATTGGTATTGAGTGGAGCACCAGGGGTGGTGTCCGTGTTGTGCGTACCACTTGGCTTTCCTGAGGAAGATTTGGGACGATGGACTTGTTCTGACCCGATGCCAGAGTCTTCCCGAGTTGCATGCTTGGCCGCAGGCCGAGCAGGCGGCTGGGCTTCTGTCTCCGCGTGGGCCGGGCCTGCTCTGTCGACGCGTTGGGGCTCGAGGAAAAACCCTGCGCCCTCTAATGTTCCGCGAGTAGGTTTCGCAGGCGCCTTGAGCTCAGCCGCGTCCATAACGCTATTGATGAGATCATCCACATGGGCGTGTGACGCTGCAGCACCTCGGTTCCATTCTTGTCCTACCACACCAGTTCAGCCAACCACGCAGCATTGTGAGTTGGGATGTTCGACATAAAAAGTACACAGGCGTCGCATCATGCCGGTGTCGCACCCATGCACTGTGCAACAAAGGTCTCAAGCCGATGTGCAAAAGTGGGGACTGTATCAAAGTGTTGCACTTGTGTCCTCAGCCACTTGGACAACTGCCCTTGATACTGCGCACTTTCCTTCATGCTGGCAAGGGGGTCGATCAGTCGAAGGGTTGAGAAGCATTTTGATTGACAAGACAAGGGATTGCATCGACATGGCAAAGGGCTTACCGAGCATCAATCATGACAATGGCACCCCAATCATTGCGATGGCGGATGCAACGCCCCAAGGCCTGGTTTAGCGCGCGGAACGCCTGAATTTGGTACCTGTTCCATTGATGAAGACAATTTGCGCATGCACAAGACAACGACCATCAGACTATTGCCGGTGCTCGTGCAGGTTGTGCTCGACACCCAACCCGCACGATGGGGTGACGATTCCGGCAGGATGGTATGAAGCCTGGCCGGCAGTCTTGCGGCACATCGCGACGCACCATTGATCCCCGTTCAAGTGAGACGATCGCGCCTGTTTGCTCAGCTTTGTGTTGTACTCGCGTTTTTGCGTCACCTCAGGATCCTTGAAGGCTGGAAAAGGGATGCCGACCGTAATGACGGCGCGAGCTCGGTCATCTGAAAAGTCAATGCCTTCCGAGGCCTGATAGAAGGATGAGCAAATGAAGATTGCGAAATGATGCTGCTCCAAGGCCACGGTATTGATGCCGTTGGTATGATGAGCTTACCTTGCCCCGGCACACGGCCATGAAGAGGGCTCCTGTGCGCCGCTTGCGTGGAGCCACATTTGCGTAAAACCGCTTTAACTGACCATCAAAGCCGCCATCGTGGCTGGTTCTCGGTTCCTTCACCACTAGCTTCAGCTGGTTCAACCCGCAATTGGCCCATTCGTGAAAAGAATAAAGCATGTGAATGATTGAGAACTTGCAATTGCAGGGTGAGCGTCGTCTGTTTGCAGCGAGCCTACCTTCTGCAGGCGAGTCAAGAGACCCGTGGAATGCCATCGAGCGTGAAGCGTCCGTAGCAGTGAATAAGACGGCAGAAAAATCAACACGCCCCCCGCGACACGCTGCGATGTATCAAGGGTATAGTGAGTCATGCAGGGAGGGCAAGCTTAGCTCTTGCAAGATCACCTCGCCTCAACAGGAAAAAAAAAAAAAAAAAAAAATACCTCGCAAATTGTGAGCACGACATTTCCAATCTCGTCTTGAAAAGAGGGACTGGATGTGTGTTTATAGTTGGCTACAAGACGTTCGCCGTTGGTGCCGCGTGATATTGAGGCCACGAGCACCTGGTCTGGGTTGATCACATGATTGGCTTCGACGCGCACGTCAAATGGCATGCCCAGCTCACAAGCAAATGACTCCAAAGGCGATAGTGTGCCTTTGGAAAGCCGGGGGATGAGGCAATATGGTAAACCACAACATGCACGATCATGAGCATGTGAAAACAAGAACATGGTTGGACACGTGCATCTGTGGCAGACTTGCGCACCGGATGCCAAGAGGACACTGTGAGTGTCGGACAAGGCCGATCGAAATGCCAAGGCGGGGTTCATGCACCAGAGATGAAAGCGCCATTCTATCCAAAGCACGATACGAGCCGGATGAGAGTCAGTCGCAACAGTCACAAGCAAGCCTTGTCATAAAAGGGGTTGCGATGGAGCCCTGGCGTGACGAACCGCCATCTTCACTGTTCCGCTCGAAACAGAAGCTATGGTTTCAGGCACAACCAATTAAAGCGCAAATTTGCGGATGAAATGAGGTGCAACAAGTTTGAAATGTGAGAACGTCATGTATGTCGCGCACAGACCGATAAGCGTGAACGTCAGAACAGAGCAATCGCAGAATCTCGTGAAGGCCATCTAAAACGCGTGCTGCGGCAAAAATGGCCACACTCTACAAGACCAAAGCATTCTTGAGGGCGCCTAATAAAAACAGCAGCGTTCATGACCAAGAATACCAAACTCACCTGCGAGGCTGTTTGGGTGGGTTCTCCCTCATCATCGAGCGAATCTTGAAATTTCTTGAGGCCAGCGACTGACTGGTCCACAAGGGTTTGATCAAGGTGGAGTTCTCCCAATCGTCGGGCAATGTCGTCTGGAAGCAGTACCTGAACAGCAAGGCATCACACGGCAACCATGAGCTTCCTTTTCGTTCTTGTTTCTTTCTGCTTTCTTTTTTTTTCCTTTATGGTACTATCACTTGAGGCTATTAAGAATACCTTCGGTGACGGCTGGCCTTCCTGAACAAAAGGCTGGGCCAAATCGATGAGGGCAGTCAAGACTTGAATACATGGTCCAAGGGCACTGGTCTCCTCCGTTCGACCGTCGCACTGTGGCGCCGTTGCATTTGATGTTGTCATCGTGTAAGAGTTTTGGGTGGACAAGAGGAGTGGATGAGGCAAGGGAAGTGAGGCAAGCACCGTAAGACGTTGCATGAGAGCAAGAGATGGCAAGCAGAGCTGATGAACCGTTGTCGTTTGTACCTGTGCAAATGTGTCATGGCAAATTAGAAGATCAGCGTGGCGCAGAGTCATGCTGGCTGCGCCTCGTGCCACATCCTCAATATTGTGTGCCTCATCAAGAATGACAACAGCACCATGCAGATTGATATTCATGCTGCGTCGAATCACCGGGTCCAACTGAAGAGCAAGACATGCGTCAGATTAGAGACAGGTAAATTCAGACAAATCTCAGATATGGGGATCGCACCAAATAGTTGTAGGGGCAAAAAACGAGCTCGGCCGTGGGAGCGAGTTCGCGAGCTGCAAAATAGGCACATGCTCGCTGCTTGCGACCTCGGGCCACGAGGTCTTCAAGATCCCAGGCTCCATGGCGAAATTGACGACCGTTGGCGAGCTGTTTTGCATTGTGGTAGCAATGGCACTGAGCTCCTCCTGGCAATTTTTTGAACGGCGGCGTAAGATTCAAGGCGGAAGCAACTCAGAAAAACCTTGCTCTAGTAAGGTCACGGAGCAGGGACCACACCTTGCCCCTTGCCGCCCAGCAGCTTGGAACACTCGTCGTTCTTGTGAGATGCTTTCGAAACTCGTGGGTGCACGCAAGTGTGCTCACGGGAGGAAAGCACAGTCATGCGAACATCACTGTATGCAGAACGTTTCAGCTCACTGGTGACTTGCGCAAGCTGGCGATGCGTTCGAGTTCCAAAATAGCTACGCAAAGCACATGGCGCAAGGCACAAGACCAAGAAGAACTTGAGTTTGCCATGGAGAGGACGCGATTGAAGCAACAAGGGATTTGGTCATCAGCCTACATGGTCGGAACGCGGAGCTGCTTGCGGTCTTGCGCGGACAGCTTGGCCTTCTTGCTGGCAGGTGTAGTTCTTGGCGCGGCAGCAGCAGCATTCACAGTTGTGTTTGACGGCTTTACGGGACCTGGAAACGGGCTGGCTCTCCTCGCACCCTGAGCCAATTGGGGATGTGCGGTCATTTCGCAATGAGGTGAGTTGCCATTGGACCTAATTGATGAGGTGCAGAGAGCAGGCAAGCCCGGACCTTGAATCCCGTGTTGAGGCGCTCCAAAGCCGTGACACGAAAGTCGTCATCCTCTTCTTCGAGCAGCTGCCCGTTGGCTCCTGGGCCACGGGATAGGGGGCGGGAAGGTACATGGGCGGGCTTGGCCTTTGTATTTGCCATGGCTATTCGCCGCGGAAAGCAGTTCAAGGTTGAGAGTGTGAAAGGGTCACGGCACGGGATGAACAACAGCAACAGCAAGGTGTCTGTTTGTCTGTCTGCCTGTCTGTCTGCGGGGATGCGTTGAGAGATGGCCAGCGACAAGTTCATACTTTCATCCTCCTCGTCTTGTGAGTGTGCGTCGGTGGCGAGCTGGGCCTCAAGGTCCGCTCGCATCGCGGCGATGCGCATCTTCTCGGACTTTTGCCAAGCAAGGACCGAGCACAGCAGTGCAAGGGTTTTGCCAGTTCCAGTGGGCGATTCAAGCAGTGCATTGTCCTTCTGCTCGAGACGCACCCAAGGCTTGGTTAGAGACGGAGGAGGCTTGATGACATGATTCAGCAGGCATTTCGCGGTCAAGCAAGTCGGAGCACACACTTTAAGAAGAGCCTTGATGGTGGCAGAGATGAGCAAGAATTGTGAAGGATAAGGCTTGTAAGGAAAAAGCACGCGCTGGCCCGAAATCATAAACTCGCGCGTGGTCGGGGCCGGCTCTGCGCTCGCCATGGCCGGCTGTCCCGCCTTGAAAACCACAAAGTGTCAGCTACTCTCTCTCTCTCTCTCATGTTCTTCTCATGACGACATTCCCGCCCCGCCTCCTCACAGCGACCATTGCGCCAGCATCCAATCTCCACACTTCTCCGCCCTTGTGATCCTTCAGTCATCAAGGCAGGGGTAGCACCGGGACCGAGTGAGGCAAGCGACAGTGACGAGCCGACGGAGGAGCGACCGACCACCAACGTGTGCACTTTACCTTGGAGCGAAAAAAAAAAAAAAAAAAAAAAAAAACCGTCAAAATTTCGATAACTTTGTCTGACAACTCTGTCTGACAAATGAGCAAACTTATCTACATTATATAGATGTTCCTGTTTGTAAAGTATAATTGGAGTTGAGTTGAAATCTGCATCTTCCTTGATATTTGCGTCTTTTTCCTCATGTCTGTTGTGTCATTCCAATCTTCAATAAGTGCAGTATTACCGACATAAAGTATAAGCTTTCAAAGTGGTTTATCACAAGTTTTCTACATTAACTTGCCTTTCTAATGCAATTTCCCTCGTGCTGCAACGGAGGGCGCTGACGGCATCATCGCGCCCGGTCGTTCCAGAACGGCAGTGTGTGCGGGTGGTGCGGGTTGATGCGACGGGCCGCCGTGGACGCGAGGGTAGTTGTGGAAGGTGGAAGAGCTGCAGGAACCAACGACGGTGCACAATGTTTCGGGAAACTTCCCATTTTCGGCATTGGTGAGACCTGGATTGCTGATGAAGAGGTTCTGATGAGGTCCCATCCGCCGCCGCTTCAGTACACCCCCTGCCTGCTCGCACGTCTTCATCCTGCCACGACCCTCTGTGGTCGGCGTGCTGCTTGGGTTTTTTTTTTTTTTGCGCTTTAGGACCATGTCGGCGGAGGAGCTACAGAAGAGAATGCAGCATGTGCACCATGAAGCGCTAACCAAATACAAGGCAGGTCCCCTTGGTTTGCGCGCCCCGGGGAGTGCATCCGCACGCACTCACTGATCATGTGACCCCCCGTATACTGTGCATCAACCCCGCGTCCACAGAACTTCAAGCTCCAGACACCACGCCCCCCTGAAGTGTATTTGACCGCTGCTGAGGAGGTCGATCTCCTGCGCGGACTCACACAGTATCGAATGACGTCCATTTACCACGGCATCAGTCCCACGCCCTCAGCCAACGCCCTCTACTTTGCCATAGCTTATCTGCAGCGCTATGCCGTTACCACGACCCTAATGGAGCATCACCCTGACCTCATCTGCCTGACGTGCTGGCTCTTGGCCGTCAAGGCCTCCGAGGCCAAAGTGCCACTCCACTGCCTCGTTGCGGTGGCGCAGCGGCAACCGCACACACCATTGGCTCAGCTCGCGGCCAAGGACGTGGAAGACCAAGTGCGTCAACTTGAGTCTTCACTTGCGCAAAAACTGAATTACGAGTTTTACGTTTCCTTGCCCTCGCGTGCCATGCGTGCCATCCTGATTGAGCTACAAGGCGTGACCGACCCTGCCCCGCCTGCGGTGGATGATGAGAAGAGCATCATGGCTGCCCTGCTCAACCTGTGGGCCAGCCCCGCTCAACTACAGATGGCGCCGGTCCAGCTATGCCTTGCAGCGTTGGGCCGCGTACGTGGAGTGGCTGCCGTCGCAGCGTATCTGCAACGAGTCCAACCAGAAGCCAGCTCAGAGGCGCTGGCCCGGGCTGAAGCCATTGCAAAAAAAGTTGAGGCAGCTGCAGGAACTCCGCCTCCTGATTCAGACTTTATGGTACGTTGTCCCCACTTGCCCTCGTAACCCTGTTCGCCATAGGATACGTCGGTGCCATTGCCCTAGTGTGCTCATAATGCTCGCGAGACAGAGGTTGCTGGACAAGGTGGACAAGTGTCTCAACCCTTTCCTGGACCCTCGGACTCCCGAGTATGTATCAGACGACCGTCTCGCTTAGGTCTGGTCATTGCTTTGATGTACGCTAACTTGATTCATTCGTGTGGTGTCGTTTCGTGTCGTGAAACTTGAACTTGATGCACACAGGTTTGCGACCCTTCAAAAGCTGAAGCGCGAGAAAGCGAAGCGTTCAGCTGAGGCGGCTGCCTGAATGCGTTGTCGCGTCCTTTGAACTAGGACCCCCTTTGAACTGGAACCCCCTTCACACACACACACACACACACACACACACACACACACACACACACACACACACACACACACACACAGACTCCCTCCCTTGCTTTTTTTTTTTTTTTTTTTTCGAGTTGTCCCGCCGTGCGGGAAGCAAACACCAACCTGTGACGAACACAGAAAACCCCTTGGGATGTGTCTTTACTATTGGGATGTGCCTTTGCATTTGCTTTTCACCTGGGGAGGGCGCCGGGTGAAGCAGCCTGGCCTGTTTGAACATCCTACAATCAATTTTCCGAATGGGTTTGGGAATCGAATACAAAGCAACGCGATCGAACGTCAAATTCATTGAGCTTTGAGCTTGGCAACGTGCAACTTGTCATCCGTCACCGTTGCAACAAATCGGGCATCCTTGCCGGCGACTGGAGGCGCCAAGTAGAAAGAATCGAGTCATGAGTACAGAGGGGGTGGAAGAACGCGCTTGGCGAGGGACAAGTGCTGCTGTCAGGCGCGTACCTTCGAGGCGCTTGAATTCAGCCTGGCCCAGGACCTGGCGCGCGTCCTTCATCATTTCCAGCAGCAGGGTGACGGTTTCTTTGTCGTTTTGCAGCTCGCCAAAGCTCTACGCGCAGCAGACATACAAATGATGAGGACAAGAGCTGATCCATGAGAAGGCCGTCAAGAGGGACCACCTAGCTGCGCCAATCATGGTGGGGCGGCTACAAGCGCACCTCAATCACGTTTCCCGAAAAGTCGGCCACGCATGAGCCCATCTGCACACCATGTGTCGCGTCGACCCAGACGAGAGGAGCGCGCACATGAGCGGAAGCAAATGCAACGTTGGCGCTCAAGTACGGCAGCGAGACTGGCATCTAACCTGGTTGGGAATGGCCTGGAGTGATGACATGATGGCGGGTGAAGGAGGAGGGTCTTGTCAAGGGTTGCCTGTTGGGCGCACCAGCCAGATGAGCGACCAAGCAGCTGGCAGCAGACACATGAAATGGCGCCCGATATTCCCCCTCGGTCAAGCACGAAAAATGAGTTCGTGGATTCCCTCTTGCGCCACCCCACCATGAACATTTCTCCCTCTCCATCCCCCTTCATGTTTGCAAGTTCCCTGCGACCCCCACGGCCGCCGCCGTTTCTCCCATTCACTCGAACCCGTCTGATCTCACAGAAAAAATAAAATTGAAACAACGTTGTGTGCATGGT